ATTAGATTTTCAGAAAATATTTTTAAGAGATGAGATAATCTTAATAAATAATAAAGGTATTTGTTAGCGATTTATTGAAAAATGTTTTGACTCGTCCAAGAGAAAAAGAATGAAAATGAAATTAGTGTTAATTTACATTATTTACATTATTCGGACTATTGTCCTCATCTCTGTTACCATATTTATTACAACGTTTCAGCTGTTACTGTCGAACTGAATCCTTTATTTCGCTCACTGGGGTAGACTGTTCTAGTTCCACGTGCCATGTCTAATGAATGTCAGTTATCAGTTATCTCCTGTTAATTTCCCTCAATCTACCCTGGTGAGCAAAATAAAGGGTTCAGTTTGACATTCCAACCACCTGAAGAAGGCTGGAGTGTACAATGGCCGAAAACGTAATAAATATGGCGACAAAGATGAGGAAAATAGTCCGAATAATATAAATAATGTACATAATACCTCATCTCAGAAATATAGATAGATATTGTTAATTTACCTTGAATAGAAGTAAGTTTAACAAATTATAAAGTTTATTCCTTTAAATAATTCAAAATATTTTAATGAGGATTTTATGACGGCTCAACAATATCGTTTTCATTTTTGCTTTATTTGATAGGTTTATAATAAGTTCATAACCAAATTGTTAAATCCCCAAGAGAGTTTAATTCTATAAATTCTTTGCCATTTTATAATTCAAAAGAGCTAAATATTTCACGTTACACTCTAACATTTTGATAAGACATTGCTTTCATGAAGTAAATGCATTTTTTAGACTTGAATACCACCATAAACAGCAGCAATAAACTTGCAAAACTCTTACAACCTCTTACATGTATGTTCTCGTATAAAATAAAGTATATATGATAAACTTAAATTATTATCTAAAAACAAAACAAAAAAAATCACTATTTTTTAAATGTTTCTTGATTGACTCTTGAACTGCTTCTATTGCTGAGTGTTTTTCACTTTTCTCTTTCTTGATGACTGGGCTTCTTCTCCTTCTTCTTCCAGACTAATGTTAACCCAGAATTCTTTATAGTGAGGTGGTCTGTCTTTCTATCCATCTATCTGTCTGTTGTCGTGATGCTGTGATCATTGCAGTTTTGTTTCTATTCTGTACTTACAGTTTTGTTGGATTAGTTTCAGCAGTTAGAAACTGCTGCTAACCATCTCTTTGACTTCTTACTATCATTGTTTGGTTAGCTCTTCAAGTTATAGCCATCTTTTTGATGTTGAAATAATCAGATATTTGATTTCAGTAGAATTGTTTGTGGATGCATGATGGGACTGGAGAGGAAGTTAATTCTGCATTATTGCTATAGAAATCTATAGCTTGCACTTTTAAAATTTCAATTGTTTTAATCTAAAAAAAAAAATGAATACTTCCCTTTTTGGCTTGAAATCAAAATGTTATTTCTATGGCTTGTCACTTACATTGTCTTCTCAGCTTGACCCTATATGAAATATCAACAGCATTCTTGTTTTTAAAAATCCTGAGTCTTAAAATAACCACAAGTAATTAAGATTTGTCATTGTTAATTTTCTTCAGAGCAAGATTCTATTTCGTACAGGTACACTGATACATTTTCTTATAATCTGGAGTGGTCTTTCAAAGTAACTTCACTTTTTAAATAAACATTCTGCATTTAATGTGAAAATGTCAAACATGTGAAAGGGTTGATTGAAGATTGGGTGACTTTCAACAACAGGCATATTTTTTTTTTAAATCCTATATGTTTTCTAAAATTGATTGGTATCTATGTGTTGTTAAAAAATTATATATTAAATAGATAGTATTATTTATTGAAATATTTAAGACTTATTATTTCCTGTTTTTATTTATTGTGTAAGATGTATTTAGAGGAAATCACAAATCATGAGAAGCTTTGTAGCATTCTATATTTCGATGTGTGTTTCTGGTATGAAAAGGTTTCTATTCACAATGTTTGCTTTGAGTGAATTACATATACTTTTTTTTTTCTTTTTTCAATCATTAGATCGGAATGCACTTTGTTCATTTTCCAAATATTTACATTTTTTACAAATCATATAGACACTTATTTTTTAGTTAACAGTCTAATCAAATTTGATCATTGACTGAATTTTGGCTTTTCATAACCATTTGCTGTACTTGCTTGTGGTAGAGCTGGCTGGAACAATTGTAACTCACTGTTTTCTTTTAGATTCAGGCAAAAAGATTTGATTTTTTTTTTTTTTTTTTTTTAAATTTCATATTTTTATCTCCTGTAATAACTCTGATCATAATATCTCAACAGTAGATGGAATTGCATGTTTTCACAATAACAGTATAGTTACCTTTTATAAGAGATGTACATTTTAATAACCAGAATATAATACACAAATGTTGGTTTCTTTATATAATTTATTCTGTATTTTATGCAGATAAGTTGATTAATAGAGTAATAAAAAGCTTAGTAATTCTAATGCATGATGGGCAATTTAGATAACATCCCAAAATCAGATTTTTAATTACAATGTATTTTTATTTTAAAGAATCTATGAAGCTGTTTATTGTTCTTGATTTTCATTAAAGGGATCGCATAAATATTATTTATATCATTGACTTGTAATGATTTTCCTTTTTTCTTCTTTATTAAAGGAAAACTATGCTTTTTAATAGCTTTGAAACTGGAATCTGTATTGTCTTTAACAAAGCCTTGTATAAATCCTGTCTTTAAGATATGACAAATCTTTGACTATATCACATTTCAAAGTTTATTCTTCATCTCAATTTTTAATACATTTCGAACCTTATACCAACAGGTGTGTGTCTACAGTTTCACTGTTAAAGTTACAATTACAAGAAATGGATATTATGTTGCCTGTGAGAAGTGTTTGGAAAAACCTGACTCATTCAAGATAATCACTTATATTTCAGTCTTTTAAAATGATTTGTCTTGTGAATGTTTTTTAGATTCAGATGAATGATAAGATAACAAATAGGAAACATTTATCAGTCAAAAATGTTTCACTTTTATTAAAGCTTCATCAGAGAATGAGATATGGAGAAAAAGAAGAAAGAAATTCTGTTATTTTTACTTTTGTTGGTTAATCAGGTTTCACATGCATTTGACTAGTTAAACTAATGTTGGTATAATTTATGATGTTCCAAATTCAAGGAGAGACAATGCATCTCTTTAAAGTTCCAAAAAACTTACCAAATTCAAAGATTAACTGTAAATATTGATTTCGGAATGCCATAAATTATTACTAAAGCTTTTTTAACAAGTTGAAACCCATGAAACCTGATTAACTAATGAATATCAAACAGCACAAAAGTAAAAAATAACAGAATTACTTCTTTTTCTCTATCTATCATTCTCTGATGAAGCTTTAATAAAAGTGAAACATGTTTGATTGATAAATACTTCTTATTTGTTTTTTATCTTATCATTCTGTCAGATCCTGATCACGATTTGCTCTGTATTTGATACCAGTTCATTCAAATGAACATTTTAATTTTCTTTTGGATTTTTTTTTTTTTAATTATAACACAGTGACTATCTTTATAATTATATTTAAAAATTCTTCTCCTCCCCTCCCCATCTACTCATTATGCATTTTCTTATTTGGGATCAACTTCATTGTAAATGACTTGTCTATTTACCTCTGTAATATTCTGTTGGCAAACTCTTAGATGAATCTGTCTTTGACTTCTTTTAGTTTATATTGCCACTTTGTTTAATGGTCTACATAGACGGACATGAGCAGGCGCTGGATTCACTCTTTCATGCAGCTTAAATCATTACTGTATCATAATAACTGGAAATGATTTACTCAAAAGTCTTTTTTGCCTATCTGGAAAATCTCTGTGAAAAGCAACAATACAATAGAATAATTTTTTTTTTAAATCTTCAAAATATGATTAGCAAATTATCTCCTGTTAAAAAGCCTGAGAAAATTGTTTTATTTAGTTTAAATATTTTATCTGTGGTTAATATTTATAAAAGCATAAAATGTGAATGATTAATGGGTTAAAATGTTTGCTAGCAATGGTATACAACACCCGAGCCCTCAAATGTTGCCCATCCATTGCGGAAGCAGCCATGTGTATATCAATACATCTACTGATTTTTCTTTTTGAATCTTCTTTGCAGCATCATTTTATCTTTTTTTTTTTGTCTTGATATTGTGACCAGTTACTTCTTGCTTTGCTTGTTGTGTCACCGTTGAAGTTTTCTTTGGGTTCTGGTTACAGGGGCTACACAATTGAATACATGACTCCAATTTCCAAAGAAAAAGAAGGCGATGCTTCCAGGTACAGTTCTATCTTTTTATTGCAACGCATGGAAGCAATTTACAAGGCAGTTGTAGCTGCTCTTTGGAACACTACTATTACTACTACTACCACCACCACCACTACTACTACTACTACTACTACTACCACCACCAACACCACAATTTTTTTTTTTTTTTTCTGCTATTACTTCTCTCATGCTGCTATTACTACTACTTTTGCCTGGTCTTGACCTGTCAATGTGTAGGCAAAAATCCATTTTTAATTATTACTAAGAGCAATCTCTTCAAAGATTGCTTCTTTCTCTCTTCATTAATAAGTTTTAAACAACGATGGCTGACTTACCTTGCAGCTAATTTCAATTCCTCTTACATGGAAGGCAACATTTTATTCTAAACTCATTTCTTTCATCTTTCAGTTTTGACATTAAAAGATACCTAATGTTTTGTTTTTAGTTTACTTTTTCACAATTGGATTTAATATTTGGAAAAAAAAAAAAAAAACTTAAAATTTTCAATTTAGATTTTATATTTCTAGTTGGTTAGAGATGGCGAATTTAATATTAATGATCATTTGTTTTCCTCTGCAGACACATTGACATCAACTCATTTGCCAGGTGTTACTAAACTGATTTGATATACTTGTCATTTTATCCCACCCACCCCTCTTTCTCTCTCTTTCTCTTTCTCTCTCTGTGCTCAAATATCCGTTAATCAACCTCACATGATAATGTGGTATAAGCATGGATAAAGTAAGGAATATTATTTGCATCTTTTTTGATAAAAATGGTTTTGCAGAATTTCTTACTTCAATATTTTGCTTGGAATTGATTTGTAGCTTCATTATTAATGGGAAAAGATCATAGATTGCTCTCTCTCTCTCTTTCTCTCTCTCTTTCTCTCTCTCTTTCTCTCTCTTTCTCTCTCTCTCTCTCTTTCTCTCTCTCTTTCTCTCTCTCTCTCTCTCTCTCTCTCTCTTTCTCCCTCTCTCTCTTTCTCTCACTCTTGCTCTCTCTCTCACTCGCTTTCTCTCTTTCTCCCTCTCTCTCTCTCTCTCTCTCTCTCTCTCTCTCTCTCTCTCTCTCTCTCTCTTCTCTTTAGATTGTAAATATTTTAAATAGCATGCATCTTGGCTCTTGGGAAATTTTGGATGATACTTTTTTTTTTTTTAAATATGTTTTATTAAAATATATGTTTTTCATTAAAAATTTATTCAGTAATATAAAACTGGATGGACTATGTCCAATATGTAGCATGCTTTATTAAAATTGAAGGATTTTATAGACATTTTTATCATTTAAAATCATTTAATTCTTTGAATAAATATCCAACCTGCATGTGCTTATATACGCTCGTGTTTTCTTTTCTTTATTGTTTTTAATTTTTCAACAATTAAACTCAACAAATTTGTATGTTGTGTGATTTTCTTTCTTTTTTCTTTTAAGCTGGAGCATTTTTTAATCTCCTTTTTTCTCCACTCCCTTAACTTACTATGCTTAAATTGTACCAAAAGATATTCGCTTTTAACTTTATTATAGTATTTATTTGAAGCAGGCTGTTCTCTTCACCAAAGCCAGTGATAATTAAAAATAATGATATTAATACTCTGCAATTAAAACTGAAATGAATTTACTCACTGCCTCTGCAAAAAGCCATGAGAAAAGCCAATAGTCAATAATGTTTAAACATTCAGATCTTTTTTTGTTTTTTGTATTTTGCCTGTTGCTAATGCAATAATTTGGCTGATCCATTTTTCAGTCATCAGAAGCAATAGATTATCATTTTATTCTTCAACAAAATGAAATCAGGTTCAAGCAAAAATATTGACATCATTGATAGCAATTTTTAATATTTATTATGAATCCTTTTATAAATCTTTTCTCCTTGAAATTCTAACATTATGCTGGCTATAATAATCGTGATGTCTATATAATCTAAATGCTGAATTTACTGTTTTCATCGCAGTATTCAGCTAATATTTTGCTTGGCTTCTATTATGTGTCTACTGCCTCTGATTGACTTTAAATTGGCCAGTAGATGTACACCCCTTCATTGTTAATGATAGTTTACAGGTTATGAATACAAGGAATGAAATGTAAACTTGAAGATGGCTATACTGGCCAAATCATTGGGATAAAAACAACAAAGATAAGGTTATTATGGCAAATATTATGGGCAGACATAATACTTTACATCCCAATTTGAGGCATCCTGGGTAAGATGATAAACTACATCCGCGTCCTGGGTAAGATGATAAACTACATCCATGTCCTGGGTAAGATGATAAACTGCATCCAACAGCAAGGTCTCTGATCAGGAGGTTTTGAGGAGTATGGAACCACCTCATAATTGCTGGTGTTCCCAGGTCCACCCTGACCCGGGGTGGTAGCACCTGTCAGGGTCTCAGCTATGGGCAAATAGTTACCCCCACAAAAGGGGTCAAAACACTATCTAAGTATAAAAATAGGTTTTAATACCAGTAATACATTGTTTGAAAAATTATTACCAGCAATACTCTTTGGGGAAAAAATTATTACCAGCAATAATTTTTTGGGAAAAAAATATTACCAGCAATACGTTTTTGAAAAAAATATTAGAAGCAATAAAAATCTTGTCAGCATTAAAAAAACCCATTGAGGTTGATATGCCATAAAACAAAATAAACGAAACCAAACCCAATTTGACACAATTAAGTAATTAATAAAATTTACTACAAATTTTCAATTGATTTTTTTTAAGTGGCCAGGGATATTTTCTCTTTATATTTTGATCTGAAATTCTTCAAATTTTTTACTTATTTTTTAAAAAGACAGATTATTTAAAACATTGGCAATCATTTCAAATAAAAATTGACATTTTAAAGCTAATGGCGACCTTTGTGGAATGAATGTGATAAAATATATAAGAAATTGTTTATTTACAATACATTCTGTAGGATTTTAATATTAAAAAGATGTTTAGCATTAGAATCAATAAAAATCATGAAAAAATGTTTGAGTTATGATAAATTTGTATTTTAAGTTCTATCTTAATTTTCATCTTTAATTAAATGTAATTATTAAAATAGCTTGTATAGCATTGACTCTTTCTTATTTATATTTCTGCTTATTTAAAGGTCAATGGTAGAAAATGTCTCTATAAGAAAAAAAATGGAGAAATAAATATCTCTGCAAAAGAAAGTGTTCTGATGATCTCCCACTTTGTATTGGTGCGAATGGATAGATTTCCAATATTAGTAAAATATTTCTTCTTTAGTCTTGATTCTTAACAAAGTATGCTTGTCGTGACCCTTTCTCAACTTTTCTATTTAAACAAAATTAGTTATGTTCAATACTTTGCTAAAAAAGAGCATACCTTGATGAAAAAAAGCCCCAAACTTGATTAAGCAATTTTTCATTGTCTAATTTTATTATTAAGAGAAAAGACCAAAGTATTTTTTTGAATATTTTTAAAATTTTTTAATCCTTCCTAGCACATACAAAATTTAAGTTAAAAATCTTTCTTTTTTTTTTTTGAGTCAGCAAAATTTACATAAAATCAATCATGTCAGCCATTTTTGATAACTTTGTGAAGAAAAGTGATATTCTCTGTTTAAAAATATTGTAAAATTTAATTATACTTTTTCCCAAAGTTATTTTAGAAAAATTAGAAAATTTAAAGTATACTTAATGTAATTTGAAACAAACATTACTCAATCTTTTTAGTAGAAAAAATTTAGTTAGAAATAAGAGAAGCATGTCTAACTGTAGTGATTGGTTTTAGAAATGTGTATTGATGTTTACATCAATGTATCGACAACTAATGTCAGAGCAATTTATCGAACGCAAGGGCAGAAGTGACAGTATTTTCGAATTCTAAGTGAACCTGCTTATTTAACTATAAAGTAATTCATAAAAATTAAATACTTTCAAAAGTCTAATATTTTATTGATTTTTTTTAGATACTTTTTTTAACAAAGATATATCCAAAGACAGCACTGTTTCCATCCCTAAAATTGAATCTAAAAAAGAAAAAATTAATAATTGCAGCCTGTCTCTCACTGAAAATGAAAAAAAAAAATGATTATATTTAAAAAATGAAAAGAAAATATTTAGTGAAATATGTAAAATAAAGAAAATAAAAAATTTTGAAATGTGACAATGATGGTCGGTCAGTCAGAGAATTTGATATGAAATCAACACAGTTTATGAGGTTGGATCCTCACTATCAGAAAAAAATGACTCTTAAAACACGGGACATTATTTCTGAATAGTGCCTCCGTAGTTTTGCTGGAAACATTTTTAATACATTTTTTGGCATATTAAAAAATTGTTGTTAAAATAGAAATGCTTTGCAGACAATAAGCTTTCAAATTTATTTTTAAAAATAGATCTTTTAATAAGAGCATTTCCAGAGATACACATATTCAAACTTAATTTTAAAATATTTAACAACTTTATCTCATTTTGTATTTAAAATTGAAAAAAAAAAAAACGTTTCATGTAAAATTTCATTTTTCATCGAAAAAATATTTTGGCTTCAGACAATAATTTCCTTAATATATATTATTCATAAAAGCCATTAAAAGCTTTTTTTGATTAAATAATGTCTTACTTTTATTGGGTTTTGTATTTTTTAATTCAAAGTTAAAGTTTGTTTAGAAACACTCCCTTAATTTACAAGAAAAATCAATGATTTATATTCTTCAAAGTCTTCTGCATTTAATTAAAATATTACAAAAATATACATATTTGAATTTTCAAGTTTTCATAAAATTAACTAAGCAGGGTTACATGTAAAAAAAAAAGTATTTTTACCATGACTTTCTAAAAAACAAACATTTCTAAAATAAATTCATTCATTTCTGAATAAGTTCTGAAAGTTTCATTAAAATCTGACAATCATTTGATTTTTGAAAAATTTCCAAATTCATGTGTTCTCCAACTGAAAAAAGCACTAAAAAAACTGATGCTAAATATTACATGACTGTTGACATTAAAAAAAAACAATATTCAACAAAATTTCAAACATGCTTGAAATGAATAAAAAATTTAAAAAAATAAAAAATACTTTGGTCTCTCCTCTTATTAATGACATAAACTTCGTTTTTATTAAGTTTGGGGTCTTTTTTCATCATGCAATACAGTTTATTCGGTGAATTATTGAACATAACTAAACACAATTTACAACCCTTTCAAACAAATAAATCTTTAGTATAAAACTAAAATTTGTTATTTAGTTCGCCATTTACTTGTCTAAAATGTTGGCAAGGGATCTTGATAAATTTTATTTGATATCTGTTGAAAGTAATAGAAGTTTTTGTTTCTAGTAAAGTAGAAGTGCCTTTTTTCTTATAATCTAATGTCTATTTATTTAGAGTCATGAAGATCAAGTCTTTTTCACTTGTAAAAGCCTGCTGCTTATGCATATTTGCATTTTTTTCCACTTTACACCTGGGATTATTTGGACTTTATCTGGTAATCTCACTAAAGGATGCTGTTACATGCTGCATTTAGATGGAGAGAGATTTCAATATTTAATTCTAATTTCAGTTTACATAGTACAGTTGGCCACACTAAGCTTGGCTCTATTTATCTATGAGTTTTCTTTTTATGTCATTTCAATATTTATAATAGATAATTTTCTCTCATTAGCATTATGATTACATTGAATGTGGTTTCTACTTGAAAAAAAAAAAAAAGAGAAAGAGAATATTTCTTTGCTTTACTGAATGCCATTTCTTCTCCATCTTTCACTCTATTGGGAACAAGTTTCTAATGCGAATATCATTTTTCACTGTCAACACCCTACCTTACATGGTTTTTTTCTGGTCCCCATTGAAACTCTAATAACAACAGCTGTTGATGTCTTGCTTCTACTGTTGACAGTTAAGGAGAAGTAGATGAGCAAAATTCTCTAGTGACTTAGTTCTGAAGCTGGAGTGGGAGTTTTGTTTTTTTTTTTTTCACAAATTTTTATCACCAGCAATCCTGCCATCACCTCCTGCATTCTGGTTATGCGCTTAGGAAGAACCAATATTTAAATTCTTGGTCAAGCTACTACAACAAAATATCTCTCCCTATTTCTCTCTCTCTCTGTATTTGTTAATAATCTTATCAATTGGCAAAATCCCGTCAGCTGGTTCATAAGATAGTTAGTTTTCACTAGTAGCTCCAGAGGTTGTTGGAGTAGGGTGTGGCTATAGCTTAGGCGCATTACTATTGCTACTGCAGTTTGACTACAGTTCTTACCATTTCAAATGTATAATTCTTATTCTCAAACCACTCACTCATCCTATGCATTCCTAATAAAAAAGAAAGAAAGAAAAACGGAAGAAATGATAGTATGAACATGACTTCATTACAAAGTGTAAGTAAATGAAGAAAGAGTTTTCCACTCCTTGTTTATTCTTCCCCGCTCTTTGGCATTCTGTAATATTAGCCATTTACCATTACTAGTTGCATATTATCAGTATACCTGAATGCCATTCGTTTTCAAGCCATCTTTATACAGCTTTTTTACCAGCAGCAGCAGCAGGCCTTCACATATATACTTTTCTAATGCCTCCATTTCCCCCACTTCAATTTGAAAATTAATTACAAGCACATTCCCTTGGCACACTGCTGTCTTGCTAACACCAGCCATCATTTGCTTATTGGATTGATGCAACCAAATCCAACAATTTGTTTCTGTCATTGTTTGCTGGTTTCTATAATTTGACAGTCAATCTCAGTAGTTCTATTTCACTCGTTTCCACCAAGAATCAACACACTTATATAGGCATTTTAATTTCTCCTAATATTTCTAATTTGCTTATTTAACTAACTTTTATCTCTTTTGAAGAACTCGCTTCAGTATTTATTGAAAATCAATAGAAACATGTCCTGTGTGGTTTTTGTTGGTCATGCAAATATCAACTTCTTGTTAATTCAAAAAATTTCCTCAGTCCACCAAGTTTGTGTGCATTGCTTCAATATATTTTAGTTTGATTTTATTAAAATATTTTCAGCATAAAATTTTTCATGTCAATTATCCCATTCTTTTTTGCAGACATTTTTGAAATTTAGATATTTAAAATTTAGATATTTAAAATTTAGATATTTAAAATTTAGATATTTAAAATTTAGATATTTAAAATTTAGATATTTAAAATTTAGATATTTAAAATTTAGATATTTAAAATTTAGATATTTAAAATTTAGATATTTAAAATTTAGATATTTAAAATTTAGATATTTAAAATTTAGATATTTAAAATTTAGATATTTAAAATTTTCAAAAATGAATATTTCCTACAAAGTTTTCTTGCATTTTTTTATTTTTATTTTTTATAAATGATTAGGATTTTATAAAATTGATAATGGAAAAGAAATCAGAATGATGAGTTTCAATTTTGTGGAACTGTTTTTCCTTTTCCACTCAACCTGTCCTTGCTTGGTTAAAATTATGGTACTTAGCTTCACCCCAATGAAATAGTACCTCACTAGTTATCTTTGGTTTCTTTATAAAGGTTTTTAGTTAGAATTCCAACTTTTCCCTTACATAGTCTGTGAATGGTTTTGATTAAACACATAGTCTCAGTTTATTTTGTAAGAATCCATTTCATTAAGCAGTAAAGCATTTCATAAGTATCCTGATCCATTTTAATAGATCAATCTCTCTCTCTCTTTTTTTTCTCTCTCTCTCTCTCTCTAGTGGGCAGGAACAAATCCACATATACCAAAACAGGAAGAGGGGGAGAAGTAATTCTCTCTCTCTCTCTCTCTCTCTCTCTCTCTCTCTCTCTCTCTCTCTCTCTCTCTCTCACCTTTGGTTTATATTTTCTAATTATAGTACTTAGTTTTTACCAGTGTTTTCTGTTTATTTTGTCGTGGTCACTTAAATGTCTAAAGATAATTTACAATCTCACTGCTTGTATAACCACAGCCGCATGTGCTAAAAGTATTGGTCATTAGCTTTTGTCCTTTTAGTAATTCTGCATGTCATCATTTACACAAGAGCTGTTGGTATTCTCTGATTTAAAAAAACTGAAAGGAATGAAGAATATATCACACAGGTGTTTTGTTGAAACTAAATCTCATACCAAACTAGATTTCATCATCATTAATAATAATCATATTGTGGGCCATATTCATTTTGGCTCTCTTTCATTCCCACTGACTTTGAAATTGAAATCTCTACCAGACATATCATCTTGCATTATTTTCTCTGCTCTCTTAGCAGTCAGATTAATTTTAAGTTCTTCCTAATCATTAGAAGTTCCATCAGTCTCTCTCACTCTCTCTAGGTTTATATATATATATATATATATATATATATATATATATATATATATATATATTTATATATATATATATATATATTTTTATATATATTTATTTTTATATATATATATATATATATATATATATTTTATATATATTTATTTTTATATATATATATATATATATATATATATATAGATACACCTAGTGAGCCAGACAAACCTACCTAGGTTTCACCTAAAACGATCGTCAGGGAAATCTAGGTCTGCTCTACGGTTGTATTGAGCTCTTTTGTTAGTTAGTTGTTACTCGTATCGGGGTTTTTTTTTCTTTGGGCTTCAGACCTGCATCTGTCTTGATTTTTTTTGTCGGCAGAAGTCCATGTTTGTAGCTCTTTCTTTCTTTAAAACCTTTTTTTTCCTCGAGATTGATTTGATTAGCAAATCGAAAATTTGAGGTTTTTCAAACGAGTCTAGTTATCTATATTTATATATATATATATATATATATATATATATATATATATATATTTTATATATATTTATTTATATAAATATATATTTATTTTTATATATATATATATTATATATATTTATTTTTATATATATATATATATATATATATAAATATATACATATAAATATATATATATATATATATATATATATATATATATATATATATATAAAAATTTGTCTTGGACAAATTACTAACTGTACTCATTAGAACTTTTTCTTGAAGTAAACTGGGTCTGATTAAGTTTCATAGCTAAAAGTATCATTTTGAAATCTTCTTTTTTTTTGCTTCTGCAGTTTGCTGTTCCCAGGAATTACCAAAATAAAAATCGATATTACTTTCAGTATTTGTTTATTAAGTACTTGAGCTAACATCAGAAACAAATAAGTTGATGAAGTTTCTGCCACCAAAACTTCCTTATTCAGCTAGAAACTTGTCTTACTTTAAACAGGCAGCATTTTTCTGGCAAGGAAAACCAATATCCATCGAGATTTTCTCATCACAAATTTGTTCACTTTGTCTTTTCAATATCTGGGTGAAATTATAAATCTAGATAGTAAGAGGAATTTCAGTAAAATGCCAAGTGTTCTCTCGTGTCCTATTTGTGAAATTTACCTTGATTTTTATCAAATCTTGATTTACACCCTTTTTTAATGACAACTCTCAACTAAAGTCTGCTATTGTTCATATTTTAAAACAGATCAGAAACCAGGGATATGCATTTTGTCTTTTCTTATCTCAGTACAACAAAGATCTGTATAGACAAATCCGAAACCATTTGCTTAGTGAATGAGAAATGTTGTAATACACTTTAAAGGTACATTATTACTGATTTCCCTGAAAGACCATCTACTGTGATTTGGTCATTGAAATTTTGTTAGTCAAATGCTGGTATTAAAATTTCATTTGCTGTTTAGAAATTTTAAAAGCTTTTTAGAATAATTAATGTAAATGTTACAATTCATATCAGATGACACTTTTGGTTTGGAACAAATTTCAACAGTGTAAACATTTTTTACTTCATTTTAATTTTTAATTTTTTTTGCATTCCTTTAGGATTTTTAAAAATTCAGTTTTAAAATTTATATTTTCAGAAATATTTACCATTTTGAAATGAAAATTCAATTGCAGATTACTAATATTTGTTTTCCTCAAAATGTTGATGTTGAAATGGAGGTCGTTTGCCCTTTTAAGCACTAATAAATACAAAGATATAATTTTTAGAATTACAAAGACATTTTCTTTAATTTATTGAATTTTTCTCTCAGCCATTTATTTAAACCATTTTTTTCTTGATCTTAATTTTGCTTTTACTTATTTTAAAAATGTTCTTATGACAAACAATTTCTTATCCCCAGATTTCATAACTTTTAAGATTATTTTCTTTTTTCTTTTGCTAAAAATTAAAGAAGTTTTAGCAGTGATCAAAAACATTCCCATAAGCATAGTATCAAATAATAATTTTTATTTTCTCTAAAAAATTTATTGAAAGTTTACCACATACTTTATTGAATGTAGATTCCTCAAAAATGTACCAAATATGAATCCTGAATTCATTAAAAAGCATAAGATTATTAAATTACTTCATATGAATCATATTTTTCTGCAGCAGCAGCAGCTTCATTGCAAGTGCATTCTACATCTGTAGATGCTTTCAAGAGTGATTCTCTTTATTTAATAGTTGGAAATGAATGTGGTAATGTGATAGAATATCAGTTGTCTTTCATGTTCCTATCATCATCATGCCTTTCAACTGAATATTTAATCCACAGACCTACTGCTACTTATTCTGATAAAGTTTCTTTCTCTAGTTCAGCATGTCACTTGGGAGATATTTTACTTTGCTTCTCTTAGCATTTTGCTGAAACTTATTTTTCTCAATAACCTACACAAAAGGCTACCAATTTATGCTTGGAAGAAATTTGTTAGATTTTTCCGTACTACTGCTACTACTCCTAGTCATATTGTTTATCTTGTAATAGTGCTTTCTTTTTATCAAAGTTAGATGAGAAAAATTCCACTTTCACTCATGGGCAGTTGTCACGAGCTGTTTAAGTCACTCGCTTATCCTAAAGAGTTTTCATTTGATGAAATGGACAGTCGTTCATCATTAAACCCAGCTAATCTACAAGCAATTGGCAATTAGCTTTAAACCTAATCTTATAACAGTGAATCAGTTTTGATATTTTGGAATTAATAAGATACTAATATCCACAGAAATAAAACTGTTTTATATCATTTGATATTTATTTTATATCATTTGATATTTATTTTATATCATTTGATATTTATTTTATATCATTTGATATTTATTTTATATCATTTGATATTTATTGCAATGTTTTGTTCTGCTTGCTTCTTGTTTTTGTTTTTTCGCCACTAATAATATGTTGCAATTACAAAATGAGTCTGCAGACATTACTTAAGTTTGCAACTAAAAACAGCTTGTATATAATTACTTAGATGTTCAACAATTATTACACAGAAATAAAACTAAACCAGAAATCTCAAAATGCCATATACAATATTCTCAGAAATGAATTCGTAAATATTCAACTTTTATTCATAGCACTTGTTAATTGGTATTTCAGAGCCAAACTAATTTCAACAACATTTAGTCTTGCCAAACATATATGAATGATGGATATCAAATTCAATGTCTGAAATGTTGCCTCTATCCAAGTTGATATTTAACTGACCTCTCTGTAGCTGACATGTTTATGACTGAACCTTCTCAAAATGCAGAGAAAGATTTATGAAAATGGTTTCTTTTAACTTTTAGCTCTTTGAAGTAAAAACAAATGACTTTATAGTTTTGTTGATCACCTTAAGATTTTTGTGCGACTCTTGTTAATGTCTGTTGCCAATTTCTGTTTCAGGTTTCCTCAGTATATCTATCCATCAACAGCAGCTGCCAGTGCTGCAGCCGCTGCCTACATGACAACCCCAAGTGTATTGGTGCCGCACTCGTCTTTATCTCCAACGGCAACAGGACAGTTTGTAGAGTATGCCACTCCGCCCTACACTGGACAATTCCCAAACAGCTATGAGGCATACCCTTACACTACAGCAACAAATGGTTACGTGACACCAGCAGCCTACACCTATGCTGTCCCACAAGCAATTGCTACTGGGGCTGGACATTTTCAACACTTCCAGGCACAGCAGATTCAGGAAAGGTTGTAGACGAGAAGAAACAAGCAGATTTGTCAGGGCCACCACTACAGCATCAGACTACCTCTTGGATAATGTCTCAAAGAACAATCATCATCATTAAGCAGAGGTAATGCTTAAGAGTTCATTGCTACTAGAAACAACATCCTTTCTGTTTGGATTACAAGCACAACATTGCAACAATGGCCAACAAATGCTTACTGAATTTGTTCTTCTGATGTGGAGATGTTTTTTTTTTTTGTTTTTTTTTTTTCGGTGGAAAATATTCCAAAGAAATTCTACATTAATAACATCACTTAATTCAAATAGAGAAAAGTGGAAAGCGAAAATGCATGTTCAGTATTTATCCTTGTTCTTAACAATTCTTTCAAATCTGACCTCTCCTTCCCTACCCAGCCAATTCTCTTGAAAGACATTCATACAAAAACCTGTGGATAATTCTCTCTCCAGTCAAAGAATCAGTAGAATCAGAGGAAAATGATCATATACAGTGGTGGCATTGTCATAAACAGAAAACTTGCAAGAAAAGAAAGAAAAAGAAACTTTGAACTCCCCCCCCCAACCCTAAAAAAAAAAAAAAAAGAAGCCATTCAATTTTTTTAAAATATTTCTTTTATATTACTTAATTTTTACAGACATTTTTATTCAAGAAGAAAAGGAAAAAAAAGAAATGTTATTGTCTTGTTTTGTTTTGATTATTTTTCCCACCATGAGTAATTCCGTCCAACAGATTAAAAATATTTAAAGATGAAAAAGAAAAAGTAAAGAACGTTTAGAATGTTATGAATACACACACACATACACACACACACACATTTAACAAAAAACTCATGAAATATCCACAAGCTGATTATTATGGTGATTCAAAACTTAATTTTGTTTCTTTTTATAATAAATTTTAAAGATGCAAAACAATGGGTGGGAATCGTTTTTACACCAAAATTAGTCAAAACTGTGTTAAGACACAACGTGGAGAAATAACATTCAATTTCTTCAAAATTAGTGAATAAAACAAACAAAAAAAAAAAGCAAATACACTGTATGAACACTTCTCTTGAGCTATACTGTGATCAGACAACATTAGCTCCATGACAATTTCAGATTGAGAATTCAAACATTATCTTACCTTTGCCTTTCTTTCACCATATTTTTCTTATTCAAGAAAAAATTTTAAAAAATATGTAAAATAAAAAAAAATATGTAAAAATAAAAAAAAAATATCTTAAAGAAAAAAAATTCCAATAATTTCTAAAGAAATAAATTCAAAATTAAAAAAATTAAAAACACAAAACTAATATTTACACACATGCAAACACGCACATATATATATATATATATATATATATATATATATATATATATATATATATATATATATATATATATCATAGTTTTACTTTTATTCCCATAGTAAAGTTTTGTAAATACATATCTTAGTTTGTTAGTATCAACTAGATTCTATTGAGGCTTAGCTGGCCACTTTGGCTATATTTTTAAACTGCAAACCTCAACATGTTGATTTGATAAAAGGTGTTGGTTTGTTAACCAACGAACTAAAGAAAATATTTCAAAGAGACCCCAAGATTCAAGTTTAAAAAAAAAACCCTTCTTCCTATATAAATATATATTAATCTGTACCTGAATGCCAAAATATCATTTCTATTATAATTATTCCTCTTTTCTAAAAATATTTTAATTCCTTACTCATGCTTATTTATAAATGGTATAAACAGATATTTCTGTGGCCAAAATATTTGATTCTCTTATTTATCACTGTTGTGAATATTCCTGTTATTAAAAGTATCAAAGAGTAACTGTATTTTCAGAATGAAGCGTTAGTTAGCATCTTCTTTCTGGCTTTCCATTCTATCAGCATTTCCAACTATTGCTTTTACTGCTGCTTCTACAAATGCAATATTTTTGAATGGAATAATTTCTTATGCAAACCTTTGTCTACTGGTGTATAACAGGATGATACCTTTTCTTTTCTTTTCAAGTATTTATTTAGCCATTCAATATTCTCTTACCTAATGTCAGTGACATTATCTCTAACAATATATTCTTCTTTTTCTTCTTATGGCCACAGAAGATTATTAAATCTGTTCATGTTGTATATTTCTATTAAATCTAAGTTAAGTCTTCAACCCCTTTGAGTTCTTTGTTCACATGCATTCACTCCTATACACACACAAACACACAATGTATGGTTAATATCTACAGTTAGTTATTTAATCGATCGAGGAACCATAAAGGTTCTTACTAAAACTGGTAGTGGAGGAGAGAAAGTTTTCCTTGTCAGTTTTGGCAGAAAACTTGGTCTATTTTTTATATCTGTAAAAATATGTGGAAGAAAAAATATTAAAAAAAAAAATAAAATAATGAAGAAAAATAAATTTAAATCCTGCAGCAAAATCTTTTCCTTGCCCACTGGCCATTTTTTTTTTTTTTTTTGTTCTTTATTTTATTTTATTTTATTTTTTTTTGCACACCAGCCCCACTCCATGCACCTTTGGTCATTCTCCACCCCACCCCCCCAAATTGTCCTTTTTAATACAGCCAGCATTCCATCAAGTGTCTACAGCTGACAAGGACTCTTCTCTTCTACCTGGCATGATGACTGTCACTTCTTGCTCGACCCATCCTCTTGTGCACTCTCTCCTTGCTTACTGCTCTCTTTTGGCTCCGAGCACATCTGCTATTGCTTATATGCCACCATTTTCGTATCTGACAATCTCTTTGACATTGAAATAATTTTTCTACACACAAATCCATTAATGTTAATGGTCATTTCATTTTGAAACTTACACAACTTGGCACTCAACACAGACTTACAAACACAACTTTACATATATATATATATATATATATATATATATATATATATATATAAATACACTAATCTCCTGGGTGGAGATTGAAACATTATTTCATGAGGGCCTGTAACATACATGAATTGAACATCATTATTCTATACTTAATGATTTGCATCTGCACATATCATGTAAAGTTGCACTCACAATGACACAGACATTTAAATATGCATACAAATCTGTGTGCTGACTGATATACTTTTATGGTACTTTTTAAAACAATAACTAATACTAATAACCCCCTTTGACTCTGCATATGTAAGCATTAATCTATCCTCTTTACAAGAGAAATCTTTTCAGTTATAGGCCTGCAACTTTTGGCGAATAATCTTGCATAACATAGCTCCCCACCCCATCCTTCTTGCACACTTAACATTGATCTCAGTTGGTGGTCACTTTTTGGGTCCTTTAACTTTTTCTACTATGACAACCCTTCCCATTTTCATCATCATCATTATCATCATGTTTATGTGCCTTCATTCGTAGATAAAAGCAGGTTTCTTTACTTACATGACAGAATTAAATTTTGGCATATTTTTTTTTACACTCAAAGCTTGTTCAGATGAAAAGAACTAAGCCATTTTTAATGACATTTAGAATTCTTCTTCTTCTTCTTCTGTGTGCCATGTCCCTTCAAGATGTGGGTGATCATAGCTCTTCACAATTTCCTGTTCTTAAAAAAAAGAAGATAAATAAGTTCTAGTACAGCTTCTATCATTAGGTTTGATTTTGTTGTCATTGTTGGTGGGGCGGGGGTTCTCTATCTAGACTTAATAGTATTCATAGGTTATGGCTAAGTGGTTCTTTTTTTTTTTTTTGTTCGGTCAAAATTGACATTTGTATAACAGTCTGTTTTTTAAATCCATCTTTCTATGGTCATGTCTTGAAATGTTTTGTTATTATTATTCTTTTAAAAGATAATCACAAAACGCAACACTGCTCTCATCCGAGAGAAAGAACTGAATGTTATACTTATCCTTATTTAAACGTGCTTTGTTTTGTGGACATGCCAGTGGCTTTCTAGAAAACATCGCATGGAGAAAACACAGGCGAGTTTGAAAAGTGTTTCTCCAATTCCCTTACTTGACAACACAAACAAATTACAAATCATTAACACCTCCTCATTCTGGTTGTGTTTGCTGGAAATGGTTTCCAACTGTACAACAGCCTGCAATCTTCATTTTTTAGTAAAAACAAAGAAGGTAGCTGGGTCAGAGAGTTGGTTTATATCCACCATCATCAATGGCAGCATGAATGCATGGATATGTGTGTGTGTCTGTGTATGTATGAGGGGGGAGGGGTTTTGTTAAGCCCTGGAATATCCTTCAGTGGATAATCTGGAAAACATCGTATTTATTGAAAGCTATACATGCCTTCAACTTGATTCTGAGCCTTGTGGGTGGGTGGGTCTGAGGGGAGATATATCGGCTCTTACTGCTGCCTCACGTTGGTTCATTTGTCCAAACAATCGCCCATCACTGCAGTGCCACACTCGCTTTTTACTTTCTAACACACTGGCCATTTCCATCATCACTACCTTTCAGTTCTCAAATGTATTTATTTCCTATTTATTTATTTATCAACCTATCTCTATTTATTAATTTATTTTACATTCATCTGTGTAAAACTCACCCTCTTTTTCATCTGTGTCCATTTTGTGCCTGCTGCCAATGTTTCACCTTTGACCTCTGCCACTCTTTTACTCAGCCACTGAGGATGCCTTACGTCACTTCACCTTGTCTGCATTTCTTCTTACAAATTTTAACTTCTCCATCACATGCATACATTTTCATGTCGCACAATAATCTGTTAACAGTTAATATAGAAAATGTCATTTTGGTCTGGACTTGAAAGAACATCTACACCTTTCTAAGTGTGTTTGATTTCATTACAGCCTAGATCAAAAGTTGAATATACTCCGTGCAGAGTTCAAGTCTCTTCTTAGTCAGTGGTTCACAACATCATCTTTTTGTATAACACTTTATAAAACTTGCAAGTGCTTCTTATTAAGATTCACTACATAAAACATGCACTTATCCCCAACCGACCACTGTGCTATGCATGACATGTTTTTTTTTTGTTTTTTTTTATCAAACTATCTTTATTGAGTCCTACTTGATGTCTGTTCTCTTCATCTACAAT